CTCGAATTTTGATTACAAAATAAATAGCAAGACTCGTAAACCGCAAAGAGGTTGTTGAAGTAAAGATTATGAGAAAAAATCTTAAAAGTGCAAAAGAGGAAATGGCGGGCTTGGTTTCCCTTAGAATATAAACCACCAAAAATTGATTTTTTCAGCATTGATTAAAAATAAAAAATTACATACGAAAAAATGTTGTTCAGTATAACCAGGGTTTACTATAATCGTGTTGGACTGTAGTACACATGGTTTTATCTCACTTTTACATATTAATAACATCAAAGAGTAAAAATGGGTACTGAATTAATTGTTACTAATCCATTCTGCAAAAACATACAACATTGTAATAATTATTCCTTTAAAAATCTGATCGCGGGGTCGAAATATTTTTAACACACTACCCTAATAGTTTTCAACCGTTTGTTGTGTTTAAGCAAACTAATGAAAATATCTGAAAAAGAATTAGCTTAGTTCGTTATATGTGTAGTTGCTTATAACCGTTGTTAGTTATATCCGGTTTCTACTGTGGAAATCTGCGTTTTCTCTTTCTTGTGCATATAAATCATTTAAAAAGTCAAAAAATCTTTTAAGGGAACCCCCACCCCCATTCTCGATTTTTTATTTTTAAGATTTTAAATGGGCTGGTAAATGAATACCAATGCTTGTTAAGGTTTGTAACTTGGCACATATATATTTGAAGATTTAAAAAGGAAGAAAAATAATTTACCCAAAATTTGTTGTTGTTGTTTTTTGGGTTCAAAGAGAAGACCATATTTTCGATGGCGGGCATGATAACTCCTCACTGGAACATCGGAATCCGAAAATTCCAACGGTGTTAGAAAGAGGACATGTCTGGCTCTCGTATGAAGTAGGATTATTGGCTTCGCACAACAATTAACAAAATGGCGGAACTTTGAAAATTTTTTTTTGAAAATCGCCTATTTTTTACCATAAACTAAGTTAAAAAATAAGGAAGATCTTCACCGATTGGCTTTAGCCTAGTTCATACGAGAGCTACACACTCCCAGAGAAACGTGTCAAAATTTGAAACCGATTGAATTATTAGTTTTTCAGTTATCGTGCCCGCCATTCGTTTTGAGAAAAATGCGTTTAAAGTTTGAGAATCACTATTGCCGTCACTAGATGCTGACACAATAAATCGGCTATATCTTCAAGAGTTCTTCAGATTTTCACTTGAAATTTTGTAGGAACATTCTAGAATTATAGTAGATTCGAATTAGATAAAAAAAAAATTGACACCGAGAATGGGGGGGGGGTCCCCTTAACACCGCTGTTATTAATTTTTTTCCTCAAAACAGGGCAAATTACCTATAGTGCATTGTATTAAACGAATGACATGTTTATGGATAGATCTATGTCGATTCCCAATTAGATAAATATCACATATTTTATTTCACCCAATTTCATGTTAATAGTTCTTTTTATACCCTTCAGCACACTGTGGTACAGGGTATTATGTCTTTGTGCATATGTTTGTAACAGGCAAAAGGAAACGAGATAGACCCATGATTCCTTTTGAGAATATGCATAGAATCACTTTCTGAGTCGATTTATGCATGTCCGTCCGTCTGTCCGTCTGTAGATGTAAAATTGTAAACAAAGTACAGGTCGCATTTATGATCCGAATTGGATGAAATTTGGCACAGCTCATTTGTTTGGCCCAAGGACGAACCCTATTGAAATTGGGAAAAATCGGTTCAGATTTAGATATAGCTCCCATATATATTTTCGTCCGATTTAATGTAAACGCTCCCTATATATCTTTCGATTTGCACGAAAATTGGCACAGCGTAATGAATTAGGTCTAGAATGATGTGTGTAAAATTTCATAAAAATCGGTTCAGATTTAGATATAGCTCCCATATATATCTTCGTCCGATTTAAGGTAAATTGTGTACCAAAGTCCCTATATATCTTTCGATTTGCACGAAATTTGGCACAGCGTAATGAATAAGGTCTAGACTGATGTATGCCAAGTTTCGTGAAAATCGGTTCAGATTTAGATATAGCTCCCATATATATCTTCGTCCGATTTAAGGTAAATGGTGTACCAAAGTCCCTATATACCTTTCGATTTGCATGAAAATTGGCACAGCGTAATGAATAAGGTCTAGACTGATGTATGCCAAGTTTCGTGAAAATCGGTTCAGATTTAGATATAGCTCCCATATATAGTTTCTTCCGATTTCATGTAAATGGTGCACCAAAATCCCTATATATCTTTCAATTTGCACGAAATTTGGCACAGCGTACTGAATTGAGCCTAGAATGATGTGTGCTAAGTTTCGAGAAAATCGGTCCAGATTTAGATATAGCTCCCATATATATTTTCGTCCGATTTAATGTAAATGGTGTACCAAAGTCCCTATATATCTTTCGATTTACACGAAATTTGGTATAACGTACTGAATTGGGCCTAGAGTGATGTCTGCCAAATTTCATGAAAATCGGTAAAGATTTAGATATAGCTCCCATATATAGTTTCTTCCGATTTCATGTAAATGGTGCACCAAAATCCCTATATATCTTTCGATTTGCACGAAATTTGGCACAGCGTACTGAATTGAGCCTAGAGTGATGTGTGCCAAGTTTCGAGAAAATCGGTCCAGATTAAGATATAGCTCCCATATATAGTTTCGTCCGATTTCATGTAAATGGTGCACCAAAGTCCCTATATATCTTTCGATTTGCACGAAATTTGGCATAACGTACTTAATTTAGTCTAGAATGATGTCTGGTATGTTTCGTGAAAATCGGCCCAAATTTAGATATAGCTCCAATATATATTTTCGTCCGATTTAATGTAAATGGTGCACCACATGTATCTTTCGATTTGCACAAAATTTGGCATAACGTACTGAATTGATGCTGGAATGATGTGTTCTGAGTTTCGTGAAAATGGATTCAGATCCAGATATATATATATATATATATATTCGTCCGATTTAATCTAAATAATGTACCAAGTTCTTATGTTGCATAGCGCTTTGAATTTAATCCAGAATGATGTGTGCCAAGTTTAGTGAAAATCGGTTGAGATTTAGATATAGCTCCCTTATATTTTAGATTGATTTTCAGTAATTGACGCACCAAGGAACCAATATATGGCTGATAGGAACAAAACGTACTGAAATTAGTATAACCTAACCTGTGACAAGTTTCGTTGAAATCGGTTCATATTTGGATATAGCATTCATATATAAGTAAATTGTGCATAAAACTCCTCATATTTGTTAGATTGACATCAAATTTTGCACAACGTACAAAATTGAGCATTGAATAACATAGCTGGGTTTTCTAGAAGTACAGACCTAGCCCAACGGATGACCTATTGATATTTGTTTGAAGTCGATTTACATACCTTTGTTCCATTGTAACAAACGAATGACATGGATAGATCTAGGTCGTTTCACATTTAGATAAATATCACATATTGTATTTCATACAATTTCATGATAATAGTCCTGTGTAATATACCCATAGTGGTGAAGGGTATCATATAGTCGGCCCCGTCCGACTTTACTACTTTCCTTACTGGTTAAAGAATATTTTGGTGATTTTTGGACCTCTATACATATATGCACATACATACAGTTTATATATTACCTTTTTTTCCAAATATTTTTCAACAAATAAAACTTCCATTTAGATCCTGTTTGCCATTTAACAATATATATTATATATTAGAATGTAAATATTTATTTAGTTTGTTTTCTTTCACTAACTTACATAACTAATTTCAAACAAAATTCTATAATAGTTTTTATTTTTTATTATATATTATTTTTTTATTCCTTCATTTCTATATATGTTTATAAATAATTGCACACAAATATATGTATATATAGATGACATAGGGGGTAGAGATAAATTTTTTCATGTTTGTTTGTTTATTTTTCAATTATAAATGATATTGATCATTTGATTTTTTTAGATTTCATTTTTTCCATATATATTTTTGTTTCATAACTTGCGTCTAACACATTTAAAAATTTATGACAAAATTTACTTAACTATTTGGCTTTGAAATACATTTAGATATATTTAGATGTAGATTTATATTTATGTTTATGTATACATAGTACATATGTATATAAATGTAAACTATAACATTAGGTGTATTATTGACTTAAAAAAGAGAAAAAGATAATAAAAATTAAAAAAAAAAACTAAAACAAACAACAAATATTTATAACTTTGTTTACTAGTGACCACAAAAAAAAATACTCCTTGAATTTTGAAGAAGGGGGAACAGATGCTGTGGGGAATTTTGTGTAAATATATTTAAAAATATATTTTTATACACCACTAAAAAGTGGGGTTTTAAAGTCGTTGGGGCCATGTGATAACCTACACCTTTGACATTTAAAAAAAATATTTTGTATTTTTTTCACTAGATTTTTTTCTCTTATATGTAGTGGTGTAGGGTATAATATAGAGGTATAATATATATTTTTATTTATTTTATTTTTAAGGAGATTATTTTTTTTTAATTACTTTCTCAATATTCTTTGGTTTTACTATATTTTTGTCTTTGCGGTTGTTGTTTAATTTTTCTTGTGGTTGTAAATATATTTTTTTTATAATTTAATTTTATTTATTTTTAACAATATTTTATTTATTTATAAATATTATTTTTTTAACATTTATTTAAAAATTAAACAAAAAACGAAAAAAGAATAAAAATTAAAATATTTAATTATTTGGTCCTTTGGTTATTTTTTTTTAATTTTAAATTATTTTTTTTATTTGTTAATATTAATTCTAAATTATTATAATATTTTTTTATTTTTTTCTTCTTCTAATATTTAAGACTAAAGGCACTCATTATTACATTTAGAATGAAATTTCTTTAAACAATGTTTTTTTTTGTTTATTTCTTTGTATATATGTTTGTTTGTCTTAAATCATATATATAAAAAATTAACTACATCGCACGCACACACACTCTCACGTAAACGGAAAGTTGTTGGTTAAGTCTACTAATAAGGCTTTGCCGCATCTTTGGAACGTTTTAATTGCACCTTGAGACGCTTGGTGCCAATTTGGAAACCATGCATCGCTTGTATGGCTGCACCAGCCGAATGGGGATTGTCATACGAAACGAAACCGAAACATTTGGATAGATTTGTTTGTTTGTCGATAAACACCTTGGCCGACAGGACATTGCCGAATGGTAGAAATGTTGAAGCGAGATCGGTATCGTTAAATTCCTGAGGTAGATGGTAAATAAAGAGATTACTGCCGTCGGGACCTGGAAGAAAAAATTACAAAAAATTAATATTATATGAAAGAGATAAGAATAAAAATATAAGCGCAGATATTTTAAAAATATTTTTTCACAGACTATCATAGGCGTGGATTTTTATACCCTACACAACTATGCTGTCAGGGTATTATAGCTTTGTATAGGCCCAAGAGTTTGTAACGCATCTGTTAAATTTAATCCATTTTTTATCATGGCATGGGCCATTTATTTTTGGTGTAGTTAGTAGCCAATCATATAACATCCTGCCATTTTAGTTTGCTTGATGCCAACTCGAATTTGCGTGTTTGGCATTGAGGTCAGCACCAATTATCACCTCATTTGGACCAAATATATCGACTAGTGTATCGAGGTCTGTCTTAGCTATTACTTCCTTAGGCCTATTGTATAATGACGCTAAAAATATATTTCATAAACGCCCAGACGAAACGGCTGAAGCTACAATCTTGAGATTTTAAGAGAGGGTCACTCTTGGTCCAAATGTGATAGATACGGATGGGTTTTTGGAAATTCGTACTAGAACGGTACGAAAAGTACTAGACCCAACTTTTAAGTATACCGATCGTCATATCTCTACTAACTGAGTCGATCTAGACATGTGTGTCCGTCCGTCCGTCTGTCCATTATAATTTGTAAATACGATACAGGCCACAGTTATGGACCAATCTTCACGAAATTTTGCATGTAGGCAGGGTTCTGGCCAATGAAGACCCCTATTATTTTTGGGAAAGATCGATTAATATTTAGGGGATGAAATGGACTCAATACTGAATTTTTGTCGGTTATTCTGGTCGCTCCAGAGGCCGCAATTATGGCCCAAACATCGTGAAATTTTTCATGGAGAAGGGGATAAGGTCAAAGAAAAAGCATGCCTGTTTTCATAAAGATCGGTCAATATTTAGTGGGTCAAATGGACCCTGACTTTTGTGTGAAAAATGACAAATGTATTCTATAGCGTATATATTTACCCCTGAAGGACATAGACCCGAAAACTTTACATTATTTCCAAGAGGAGTGGTTGACCTTTAAATTAATACCAATTATATTGTTGTATGTGCTCGGATGTGGGAGTTACACCTAAATATTTACAGGTATCTCCGTATTCGTATATTATTTAGTAACCCATTATAACTCTAGAGAGCGGAACTATAGCGCTGATCGCTTTGAAATGTTCTATGAGGTTCCAGTTATGGTCAAGGACAACGCCAATAATATAATTATTTTGTGATGAAGTGGGCCTAAAATATATTTGTTTGTGTTTTTTTTTAATTCGATCTATAGGCCACAATTATAAGCCGAACATCACAACACAACCCACGCTGAAGGGAATATGGCCAAGTAATTAAAAGGACTATACTGAATATTAGTAAAATTCGGAAAATATGTCAGTGTAAGAAAAGGTGATGTAGACCTCTAATCGGACAAGAGGGTGCAACTATCACAAAATATTGTCCAGGCTCGGAATAAGCATCCACAGAAAGTTAGAGTTCCGTGGTAGTTGTGTAGGGTATCGTATGGACGGCCCCGTCCGACTATACTGCTCCACTCACTGGCTTTAAAATATTTGTTCACATATTATTTTTTTTTAGCGACTATCATAGGCGTGGATTTTTTTTAAAAATATTTTTACAGGAACTATCCATTGTGGTGGATTTTTATACCCTTCACCACACTGTGGTACAGGGTATTATGTCCTTGTGCATATGCTTGTAACAGGCAAAAGGAAACGAGATAGACACATGGTTCCATTGGAGAATGTACATAGAATAACTTTCTAAGTCGATTTATGCATGTCCGTCTGTCTGTCAATGTTAAATTTTAAACAAAGTACAGGTCGCATCTACGATTTCAATTGGATGAAATTTGGCACATCGCATTTGTTTGGCCGAACCCTATTGAATTTGGGCAAAATCGGTTTAGATTTAGATATAGGTCACATATATATTTTCGTCCGATTTAAGGTAAATGGTATACCAACGCCCCTATATGTTCTTCGATTTGCACGAAATTTGGCATACCGTACTGGATTGAGTCTAGAATGATGTGTGTAAAATTTCTTGAAAATCGGTTCAGATTTAAATATGACTCCCATTTTTAAATATAACTCCCGATTTTAGGTAAATGGTGCACCAAAGTCCCTGAAAATCATTTGATTTTCTCGAATTTTTACATAGATTACTGAATTAAGACTAGAATGACATGTGCTAAAATTCGTGAAAATCGGTCCAGATTTAGATATAGCTCCCATATATAGTTTCGCCCGATTTTAGGGAAATCGTTCACCAAAGTCCCTATATATCCTTCGATTTGCACGAAATTTGGCATAGCGCACTGAAATAGATCTAGAACGATGTGTATTAAATTTCACGAAAATCGGTTCAGATTTCAATATAGCTCCCATATATAGTTTCGTCCGATTCGAGAAAAATAGTGCACCTAAGTCCCTATATATCCTTCGATTTGCACGAAATTTGGAACAGCGCACTGAATTAAGTCTAGAACGATGTGTATTAAATTTCACGAAAATCGGTTCATATTCAGTTATAGCTACCATATATATTTTCGTCCGATTTTATGTAAATAATGCACCAAAGTCCATATATATGTTTTTCGATTTTCACCAAATATGACATGGCGTACTAAATTAAGTCTAGAATGATGTGTGATAAGTTCCGAGAAAATCGGTTCAGATTTAAATATAGCTCCAACATATATATTTTCGTCCGATTTAATGTAAATGGTGCACCAAAGTCATTTAATATATTTTGGTTTGCACGAAATTTTGCACAGCGTAATGAATTAGGCCTAGAATGATGTGTGATAAGTTCCGAGAAAATCGGTTCAGATTTCGATATAGCTCCCATATATATTTTCGTCCGATTTAAGGTAAATGGTGCACCAAAGTCCCTAAAAATATTTCGATTTGCATGAAATTTGGCACAACGTACTTAATTAGGCCTGGAATGATGTGTGTTAAGTTTGGAGAAAATCGGCTCAGATTTAGATATAGCTCCAATATATATTTTCGTCCGATTTAATGTAAATGGTGCAAAAAAGTCCTTTAATATCTTTCGGTTTGCACGAAATTTGGCACAGCATAATGCATTAGGTCTAGAATGATTTGTGTTAAGTTTCCTGAAATCGGTTCAGATTTAGCTATAGCTTATATATCTGACCAAATGAAAAATTTAGTATCGGTTGCAGAATGAAATGATTCTGGATCCAATTTCATTTTACTGGTCCTTTAAAAATGCGACGTCTATTTATCTGTTGAATATACCCAAAGTGGTGGAGGGTATCATATAGTCGGTCTGACTTTACTACTTTCCTTACGGGTTTAAAAATATTTTTTAGAGGTCATCCAAGACGAGGATTTTTGGAAAATATTTTTTATTTTAAAAATAAAATTCAGGACGACTATCAATAGGGGTGGATTTTTTAAGAATATTTTTTAAGGATCCACATAAGGCGTGCATTTTTTAAAAATATTTTTTAAGGATCCATCATCTCTAGATATAAACATTTGTTTAAATTTTTTTCTTTACCCAAAAATCTTCTTCCCATTCCTTTAATCTGAAAATCCTTAAATAACAACATAACCACACTTTTTTCCTGTTTTTTGTTGTACTTACCTTCAATTTGTTTGCCAGCAACACCAGCGGCGGCCGCCTGCAGTGCTGTTGCCGCAAGAGGTGCGGTGGCGGCAGCATAGGCACCATTGGTCAGTGGATTAAGCGCTGGGGCATATTGTGATGTGAGAGCATCTGCACCAGTCCCTAAATGGAAGGAGATGTATAAAAAAAGAAAAAAAAACAAAACAAGAAATAAACACAATGAAATAAAAAATATAATTCTTGTTTTAAAAAATTTTCACATTTTAAATATTTAATTATTTCAAAAACATTTAATGTGTGGATGTGTGAATGTATTTGTAAAAAAGAAGGGGTAACTGAAGGACATGGAATACTTTTTGGTGGACATGGAGGAGAATACAACAGTTTTACTTGTAATAATAATTATTTTAAATATTCCATTGGGTCCAGAGGTGGAGAAGGGACGAGGTAGGGGACAACATTTATCCTCACAACAACAACATGGCGAATGAAAAGGACCTTATGTTATTAAGAAACATAAATATACATACATGAACACACACATACATACATTTAAATAACAACTCGTACAGATAAAAATAATATATTTTTCAATACTTAGAAAACAAAATAAACACACACATACATACATATACTCTCACACATTACTACACGTATAACAACGTTTAATATTATCCTCATAAAAAACGAATTGCAGGAGGGGTTGCGAGGAGAAGGGGAGTTAAAATCGAAATTTAAATACGTTTAACAAGGACCTTTACACAAAAGGATTCAATTGTTTATGACTGTGTCTCACTCTGTGTGTGAAAAACAACTTTGCTTGTATACAACAATAAATGTATGTTGTACGTTAGCTTTTTTGGTTTCGTTGTTGTTCTCGTTGTTGTTGCTTTGTTTTTGTAATTGTCTGGTTTTAATTGTTGCCTGGTGAAGTCCTTTCTAATTATACGAATACAAGTGTGTAATAATTTTATGCTCTTGCTGTTCGGGGTTCGGTTGTATTTTTTTGTTTGAATACAACTACCATACAAAGCTTTGTTAGGGTTTTTGTAAATTTCTGTTTGTATGAGTTTTTTTTTTTTTTTTTTTTTTTTGGAGGGAATCTTTATTAAAATACATAAATAACGTAAAAACACACATAAATGCATATTTTTGTAATGTTAACACATAACCCTTGGGGCAATTACTTCTTACTACTACCAGATGGTTCTCTATCTAGACTAAAGCATAATTTACCTACATAGGATTTTTGAAAGGTTTTATGTACCAATGGTACCTATAAGGTTTATATATATATATATATATATATAAATCGGTATATAAACAGATTCCGCTGAAAGTCCTTCTAGCTTTACAAAAACGCTAAAATAACAATAAGAGTTGAACGGGCCGATCGCGATATTTGCACCCTCTTGGCCGGTTACAATAAATGTAAAGGTCAACCACTAATCTTAGATAAACTATCAACTCTCGGGTTTATGCATTACTGAATTAAAAATTTTGTAATTTTTTCACATAAAAGTCAGTGTCCATTTGATCCGCTAAATATTGACCGATGTTTATCAAAATAGGCTCGCTTATTAATTGGCCTGATCTCCTTCTCCAAGCAAAATTTAATGATGTTCCGTTATAATTGAAGACTCTTGAGCGACCAAAAAACAGAAAAAAATAAAGTTGTTGGCCCTAAATATTGACGGATTATTACCAAAAACAATAGATGTCTTTTTTGGCCAGATGCCGTCCTACATGTACTTAAAGGGTGGTCTAAGACTAATATTTTGCTGCGTTACAACCTCCTGGAGCTGCACAAAGCTGTAATACCCTGACAACATAGTTCTGTAGGGTATAATTATATACAATAAGCGAAGCAGTACAGTTGGACCATATGATACCCTACACAACTATAGTCGAACTTTCATAAGTCGAATATTGTTCAACTCGAGGCACATGTAGCGACAATAGCACTGATGATACAAATCGTTGCTTCTAAAACAACTGGCAAAGCTGACACAAATACAATTTTTGGTACATTTGAACCATATCCGGCTCACTCGTGACGATTGGCCTGTACTTTGAATACAAGTTATAATGGACAGATGGTCGGAGGGAAGCATTGAGCAATATCGTTTCAACTAGTCGATATATGACGATCGGTGTACTAAAAAGTGGGTCTGGGACCAATAATTCCCGCTGTTAAAAATAATCGTGTAGGCTATAAATACCTCAGTCTAGCTTAGAAGTCATTTACCTCCCGAAAATCTGTAACACCTATACATCCCTCTATGAAGTTATGAATCTATGAGCTTATCTTCATAGAACCTATTTGAAATGACCTCTAGAAGTTACTTTGCCCCCAAAAGACAACCCATCAAAAAATACATCTTGTCCTTCAGAAAGTATGCAGGGGTCATACCTCTACAGGTTCTTCCAGTCCAAACCTTAAAAGGTATAGGGTCTTTCAGCTACATATAGACACCCTAGACCTTCAAGTCGTTTATCCGACAATCTTTAACACATATATGTAACACCTTTACGAAGTTACTGAGGTTTGTGTGTATATTCACAGAACATATTTGAAATGACCTCTAAAAGTTCTTTTGCATAAACAAATGCCTCCAATCTATATATAAAGACACCTTATCCTTCAGAAAGTATTCAGAGGTCATAGCCCATCTAAAATCCCTCGAACACAGATACTCAATTCTGGTCGTTTCTGGCCAATTGTAAATGATTTAAAACAGTTTTATGGTCGATTTTTAGCTCCTGGACGATGTTATGACTGCTTACATGCCGGTCAACTTCAATCATTTCTCGGATTTTACCGAATATGAAATTATTTGATCGATACTTTACGAAAAATCAGTACTTTCCCAACTTAATATATATAATATTTGGCCTTTCATCATGACTTTCTGACCATCAGATCCAGTCCATAAAGATTCTCGGACCCGTAGCTCGCACATAAAGACTGCTGCCAATGGGTCATCTATTCCTTGCAGTTTCCTCGTCTATAAAAATACCTTGACTAGTGGATCACGTAGACTCTCTGACTTTACTGCTCCTCTTTTAAAGACTAACTACCTTTAGCTCTTCTAAATACTTCCCGATCCACCCAATATATGTAAAGGTTCTCTGATCATCTCTACTTCCCTTCTGATCATCTCATAAAGACCCTCTCCAGAGGTTGTGTAATGAATATCCTCTATTAACAATTCCTGTCATCACTTATTCGTGTAGGCTTTTCAGCCAAAAAGCTTTACCCCTATATATGCTTCCATCGCTTCATTTCGGCTGATGAAATGCACAAATCATTTATGAAAAAGAATATATAATACCAAAAAGATTTTATATTTTTTCCATACAAGCTTTCTCACTACTTGTCATTCCATTGTTGATTTTAATTGAGGTCCTTGAATACAATAAAAGTACGAAAATAATATATCAAATAAAAATAGCAAGGTTGTAGCTCTCATTGCTTTAGCTCGCCTATAAAAACAAGTGCTCATATCGCATTAACTTCAGCTGGCCAACAGATATAATGCTCAGCTATAGAAATGTGTTCTCCTTCACATGGCTTGCTTAGAAATGTAGACTCTTATCGATTCAGCTTCACCTATAGACGTATAGACTAGGAGAAATTGAAGAATTCTTTCGAGCCATCGACAGCCCTCCATCAAAAGTTGTCTATATGGACTGCAGGTTCATCAGACCGTTCAAAACGACTTCTAACCTTTCAGCATCCTCCACCTTAGCTCGGCTATACATACTGCATCTGTTAAAACAAACTCAGATTGCCTATATGGCATCAAGCCTATAAAGAGTCTCTAATAACGGATTAGACTAGTCGGTAAACACTCTGAAGGTCTACGAAGACTGCCTGTAGACGACCTGAGGGGAGTCTCTTAATTAAGACTCACTCCAGCTCATGTATAAAGACTCCCTTCTGTTCATCTATAAAGACTCCCTTGAGCTCGTCAATGAAAGTCTATAAAGACAAGCTCCAGCTCGAAATTCAAAGTCTCCCTACTGAGCGTCTATAAAGTCTCCATTCAGTTCGTCTATAGAAACTCACTGGAGCTTCTCTATGAAAGTCACCCTTGAGCTCGTCAATGAAAGACTCCTTTCAACTTGCCTATGAAAGATTTCCTGCCTCAGTTCGTCCCTTCCACTCGCCTATGTAAGACTTCCTGCTTCATGTGTTCTGTGAAATATTCCCTATTTCAATGCATCTATGAAAGACCTTCTGATTCAGCTCGTCTGTGAAGGTTTATTTTTCATATACCTCCTCGATAAAAGACTACATGTCCTTTAGTTCGTCGATGTAGGACTTCCCGCACTTCGGAACCTGCATTAATATCCACAGTATGATACTTATATGTAAGCGTGTCTGTGTGCAAACCCATTGTTCAGTGTTAATGATTAAAATAACAATCAAAACTTGTAAATAAAACAAAACAAAAGAAATTCACACAATAGAAAGTGACGCCCAATTGCACAAATCATTTATGAAAAAGAATATATAATACCAAAAAGATTTTATATTTTTTCCATACAAGCTTTCTCACTACTTGTCATTCCATTGTTGATTTTAATTGAGGTCCTTGAATACAATAAAAGTACGAAAATAATATATCAAATAAAAATAGCAAGGTTGGAAGGGCACACAAAGTAAATGAAGTCTGGTGTTTTTATTACAAAAAAGAGTCAAGGGCTATTTTGTTTATTTTTTAAATATAAAAAATGATTGTAGTTTTTTTGAGTGTAATTTAACTTGGAGGATTCTCTAATAACTACAAGGACATCCTTTACTTTTGTAATATCATTAATTGAGAACAGTTATTTAGACCTTCTAGGACTATATTTATAGAATCCTTTTTATCAGTACTCGAACTGAACTAAATGGAGTTTGGAATAAATTTCAGATTTAAAAATCCTAAATTCAAAATTTGATTCTCCTCCGTTCAATTAACCACCAAAAGAAGTCAAAAAACAATATTGACTACAATTCATATTGCTGGAACTTTTATATATTTTTTTCTAACAACACCCATTCAGGTTTTTTTTCACGAGCATTATCACCGGATTCTGGTTACTGTCACTGGTCCTACTACGCCAGCCATTGTTGTTGTTTATAAATTAAACAAAAACATGTTACACACACC